TCTTGCCTCCAAAGGTGTTGTCTAACCCTAAAGTAGTGTCTCTCCGCCTCCTTAGGTCTAATTTGTGTCCAAAATATGTCCTCCTCTTGTTCTTGGCAGGCCTCCTTTGTTTAATATAGGGTTTAGGACTTAAAATCCCATGTTTTGCACTTTAGTCCCTGAAATTTTCGCTTCTGCCGCGGTTTTGCCGCGGTCGCGGTGGAACCGCGGCCAAACATGCCCTCTAATTCTTCAGTTGTCCGCGACCATCTTCTACCGCGGTTCTGCCGCGGTCGCGGCAAAACCGCAATTTTTCACCCTGTTCCGTTTGGAATTTGGAAAAACGTAAAACATGAAAGTTGTAGCCTTTTGAGTTAGCTTTCCAACCATATATTGTGGAGCCCAAATGGAGTTCTGAGAAAAAAGTTATGTCTATTGTACTAGACAATGTGCAATATGCTTCCTCAAGTCTTCGTTCGTACTTAATTATCAAATTTGACCTCCGAACACGATCCCGGCTTAATTCCTTGAGCTTTTACTCAGACTTCAAAGCTTCAAATCACTTAAATTCATTCCATAACATCTATATAGCTCGGAATCACACCTACAGGGCATAAAACACACAATTAGTGCAAAACACTAGCGATTAAAGCGCAAACTCAATTAAAGTGCAGTAAATTCTAGTGTAATAAGCGACTAAAATCACTTAAAGCTTCAAATCACTTAAATTCATTCCATAACATCTATATAGCTCGGAATCACACCTACAAGGCATAAAACACACAATTAGTGCAAAACACTAGCGATTAAAGCGCAAACTCAATTAAAGTGCAGTAAATTCGAGTGTAATAAGCGACTAAAATATGCAATTATAGCCTATCATCAGATAGGCCTCAACCGCCTACCCGAGCGAGATACAAAGGGGTCCAGACTAGCAATGGTGGCCCTAGCAGAAGTGGAGCAGATCGGAGTGCCACCAAATCTAAGGCTCCCTCCTCGGGCAGCAATAGTGTTGCGTCAAACAACAATGATCGGGGGAGAAAACCCCCTTCAGAATGCCGTCATTGCGGCGGACCACATTGGAATAATGAATGTCCACATGCACAGATGAACGCCCATCAAGCTTTTGATGATGGGATCGATGACGACACAGACGATGCGGACCAGACCGAACCAGTAGGTGCCTTTAATGCAATTGTTGGCTCTATTTCTGAGGCCTTAGCGGAACCAGTGCTGGTGTCCGTAAGAAGAAGGACCCCTGTCCAAGCACCAAGAAAGGTAAAAAGACGATTGATGAGAAGACTCCTATTAAATAAGAGAGGACCCTAATGTTCGTCTAGATGAAGGTAAATGGCAAGCCCATTCGGGCGAGATAGACACGGGTGCTACCCACAACTACTTAGCCTCAACTCAGGTGGAGCGCCTTGCTCTAGTTGTAGGAAAGAGCAGAGGTTGTGTCAAGGCTATCAGCTCACCTCCTCAGCCAGTGGGTGGAATAGCCAAAGAGGTACCAGTGAAGCTTGGCCCTTACGAAGGAAAATTCAACCTGCGCGTGGTGATCATAGATGACTTCGAGCTGATAGTAGGGTTGGAATTCCTGAGGCAAACCAACACCATGCTCGTACCGTATGCTGATATGTTATTGATGATGGGAGCAAACGGGGCCAAGCCCCGCATTATCCCGTGCATGCCCATGAAGATGGCCGTTGAGAACATCTCGGCCTTGCAGTTGAAGAAGGGGGTCAAGAGACATGAACCTAATTTCCTAGCTACCCTCTGCATTGAAGAAATAGAACGTTCCTCGGGTCCCATTCTTGCACCCATGAAGGAGCTGCTATTGGAGTTTGAAGATGTCATGCCACAAGACATGCCAAAGCGGCTCCCGCCTAGGCGCACTATGGACCATGAGCTTGAGTTGGTATCGGGCGTAAAGCCACCCGCCCAAGCGCCTTACAGAATGTCACAACCCGAACACACTGAGCTTCGGAGACAGTTGACGGAAATGCTAGACGCTGGGATCATCGTGCCCTCCAAGTCCCCATACGGGTTCCCTGTGCTATTTCAAAAGAAACATGATAGCAGCCTGCGACTTTTTGTGGATTATCGGGCTCTAAACAAAATCAGTGTGAAGAACAAGTACCTTATTCTGCTAATGGCAAACTTGTTCGATAGGTTGGGTAGTGCGACAGTGTTCACCAAGATAGACCTGAAGACAAGTTATTGGCAAGTTTGGATTGCAGAGGGTGATGAGCACAAGACGACCTGTGTGACAAGATATGGGTCGTACGACTTCCTGGTTATGCTGTTCGGCTTAACTAACGCTCCAGCCACATTTTGCACCCTAATGAACCAAGTCTTCCGAGAGTACATTGACGAATTCGTAGTGGTCTACTTGGATGACATTGTGGTATATAGCCAAACATTTGAAGAACACCTATAGCACTTGCAGAAGGTCCTAGTTCGATTGCGAGAGCACAGACTATATGCGAAGCTGTCCAAGTGCTCCTTTGCTAAAAAAACAGATTGACTTCCTCGGACATGTCATCGAGGAAGGGCGGATCAAGATAGACCAACAGAAGATTCAGACTATCACATATTGGCCGCCGCCTAAGGATACACACCTTGAGGGCGTTCCTTGGCCTATGCAACTTCTATCGGCGATTTGTGAAAAATTACTCCCTTATTGCAGTGCCATTGACAGAACTCTTCCAAACCGATATAGTTGGTTTGGTTTGGGTTTTGATAAAAACCGAACTAACCTGATCCATGTATAGCCTTACCTTGAAATATACAATAAATCATGCAAATAAAACATAACACATGAATACACAACAGCAACAACATACCCAGTACAATCCCACAAATGGGGTAAAACATAATACATGAATAATTAAATAGTTTAAGAGTTAACAATTCATGAAATTTAAGTCACAATTGAACTAAAAGTACGCGTTTCACTTAATAGAAAATAAAATATACTTAATCATATCTCACGAGCATATATATTTCCCAACAAATGATGGATTAAAGCTACAAATATATTCACTATCATGCTCCCTTCGGCCCCATATATATGATTTTCTAGTATTTTAAAATACCAAAATAATTAATTTTTAAAAATATCAAGAAGGTATAATTATGTTTTTTTCTTTCAAAAATATCTTTGTCTAAAAAATAAAAGAACAAATTTCTAAGAAGTTTTTCAAAGAGAAGAGATAAAAGTCTTTTAAAAAATAATCCTCTTAATCAATATTATTTCAGAAATTTTTTTGGGAGAAATTCAAAAATAGCCAGATTTACCACTGGTCGTTGAAAAATAGTCAAGTTTCAAAAGTCATCGAAATTTAGCCACTTTAAATCTGAGCGAAAACACTGTTCAAAATCCAGAAAAATACGCCCGCAAATTTTACGGGAGTTCCAGCATAAGTATGCTTGAACTCCCGTAAATTTTACGGGAGTTCCAGGATAACTATGCTGGAACTCCCGCAAATTTTACGGGAGTTCAAGCATAATTATGCTGGAACTCACGCAAATTTTACGGGAGTTCCAACAAGTATAATTGTCCAGTATAATATACTGGAGTTTGGAGCACTGGTGCTCCAGTCTCCCGCAAATTTTACAGGAGTTAGCAAAGTATACCGGTCCAGCATAATATGCTGGAGTTCATACACAAATGCACAGAACTCCCGTATATTATACTGGACCGGTACCTGTTGCAGCAAAATAGTGGCTATTTTTTATTGACTTGATAAACGCTGGCTATTTTTCATTGACCAGTGTGAAAACTGGCTATACCATAATATTTTAACAATTTTTTTCAATGGATGTGACAAATTCTAAAAAGTAACTCATATAGAACCGGAGGGAATAATGAATAGTTACAAGCTCATCTCTTTTTTCCTTTTAATATCACGTCAAATCAAATCAAATTATTTTTTCCTCTATTTTGTGAATAAAAATTTAACATTGGAATCCTTTAGTTGGACCTCTGTTTTAAGAGGCAGAATTCGTAACACTTACGCCTCGGCCGTCGGCGCTTACGACCTGGACACGCCCAGCGCCCAGCGTACTGGGCTCGCCTAATAGAACTTAATGCAATTATATGTAACTAACCTTGTAAATCCTCAAATTTTCTTAATAAATCATTGACTATTCAAAATTACTTTTTTCTTAATCATAAATTATTTAATTGAAAGTATTTTATGTCATAATTAAAATAAAAATTATTACACGTTATCCACTAGACTGCTATGATAGTAAATCTTAAAGAAATCTTTCATTTAAAAAGTATTTATCTATTAACTTTTGTTATGTCTTTATTATATAATAGTCCATAATTTTTTTTATAACTATTTTCCTAAATATTATTTTTTTTACGATTACGAGATACAATACTTATTAATCTAATAGTTCAGTATTAGCTAGTAACTATTTATAAATAATTAGTTATCATAGTGTAGTATGATGAATTATATGTCACTTTATTAACTTGTTGAAACTTAAAAATAAATGATGCTAAAGAATCATAATTAAATTGTGAATTATCTTTTTATATAAATTCTCTTTCAAATAGAAAGTATATTAAATAAAAGGAGTATTTAAAAAAAACTATCAAATTGTCATATCGAAATTCTTTCAAGATTCATTATACCTTAAGAGATACATATAAGATTTCATATCGAATACATTACTTTTGATGTTTGAGTTGTAACGACGTTGCAGCTAATTTGCATATTATGATATATGTCATACTTTTCGTATTATTCATAGTTGAATTATAATTTATAAATATTTTAAATAAATTATTTGTTATACTTTTGTAATTTTAATATAATTTTTATAATTTTATTTTTATTTTTTATACTATCTTACAATTCTTCAAATTAGTAAAATTTAAAGAGCCAAGCTTACGCCTCGCGTCACGCCCCTTTTAAAAACATTGACTTGGACAAATGTCAGTATATACATTTCTAAGTAAAAAACACACTCATACTGTATTTGCTTACTTCAGTTTACGTTTGTACAGCAAAAAAATCCATAAATTGCTCAAATTGACTCTCTCTCTCTCTCTCTCTCTCATTTCTTCATTCATCTTTTTTTTTTTTATAAAAAACAAAAAAGCCTATATGTTGTTCTTCACCAATCAGTAATCACTCTACTCACTACTCTCTCTTCAGTCCCTTTCCTTTTACGGGTAAGTTCTTTTTCCCACTTTCAATTCTCAAATTTCACAGAAAAAAAAAGTTATCTCAAATTTTCAGCTCTTTTTTCATTCCCAATTGTGTTTTGGGCATGTAATTATGATATATTTTTTTGGTTTATTTGGAGTCTTTAAAATTTATCAATTCTGGGTTTTAATTCTTTTTTTTCTCTCTCTTTCAATTATCAAATTTTAAGGTCTTTTTTCTTTAATTAACAATTCTCCAGGCGCAATTGTATGTGTTTATGATTTTCTCTTTGGAGTTTTCCAAATTTTATCAATTCTGGAATTTAATTCATTTCTGATTACCATGTGGGAATAACAAGCTGGGTCGAACACCACCCTTTTTAAAAAAAAATAAAAAATTATGTTTTAGCTCTCTTGCTCTGATTTAAATTTCCAAAGCTGATATAAATTCTAGGAAAGATTATGTTAATTGTTTGGAATGAACTTTTTTTGTTCATTAATAGATGCAGTAACTCTATGAATAAAGGCATCTCATTTTTTAGTAGTTGAAAAGGATTGTATTGTTAATTTTTGGGTGGTGTGGCGGTGTTGAGGTGTCTCTTCTGCTAAAATTACCAAAAAATTCAGAAAGAGAAAAGCTTTTCGAAAATATTTTTTATAGCCATGGCTTGGGATTATTTACTGTTGAAATAATTACCATTAGATTTCCCTTTCTGTTTTTTCCTTTTGCTTTGGGGGTAGGGGGTGGGGGGTTGAGGAACTTTGGGATGACAAACGGTGCGGTGCGGTGCGGTTGTGGGGCATAACTAGGTACACAAAATTGCTAAAAATAGAAGAAAATTAAACCTGGATTTCTTATTAATTTGTATAGTGCAAAAATAAAGATATTGGCGCATATATCTGCTAGATGTTTCAAATAAATTGAATTGAGAACTGATCTTAATCTGATTGAAGAACTTGTTCAATGTTTTCATCAACCAGTTCTCCAATTGGTGTTAATGTGTTTGACAATAAAAATGAAGAAGGTTAAAATGACATAATGAGAATTTCCTCGCATAAACCAAAGATACAAAATATAATTAACGATTGATATGAATTTAAAAAAAGAAGATAAAAAAAAACTTGTGTGAACCTGCATAAACCTGCGTAGACCCGCAACCCACCCACCCACCCACCCACCCACCCCGCATCAATTATTAAAAGAATGGCTTAAACCCGCCCCGCACCAGCACCCACCCCGCATAGTCTTAAACCCGCCCTTCCCTGCATAGCACTAAATCCACCTTGCAGGCCTGCTCCGCCCCGTTTGCCATTCCTAGTGAGGGTGAGGGTGAGGGTGAGGGTGAGGGTGGACAGTGGACAGTGGCTGATTCAGAATTTAAATTCTTACTGTAGAGCTTTTTGCATTTTGCGATTAAGGGTGCATAATTTAATACTTTTTGAAATTTTAGTCCTCCCTCTGTCCCAATTTATGTGGTGATTTGACTTGGCATGGATATGATCTAAAATAAACCATAGATTTTTACATGTCTGTAAATCTGTTCCTTAAGGGTAAAGTAGGAATTCTAAAGATAAATTGTTTCTAAATTACGAAAGATGACATTCTTATTGAGACTGACTAAAAAGGAAAGAATATCACATAATTTGGGATAGTGGGAGTAATTTTTATATAGACATATACCCTATGTATGGAAATTGCTGGTTTCGATTGAACCTGTAGCAGGCATGCCACATCCGCCTCTTGGGTGGAGGGGGAGGATGAGGGAGATATGTGTACGGTTAAGTTGCTATGGTTTTTAGTTCTTGTTGTAAAAGACGTGGGAAAAAGAATAGCTAGCTATACAAGTACAAAGAAATCGGAGGAAATGGGAAAATAAGATTTTAAACTTTGACTCTGTCCTCCCGAGATGTTGGTCTTTTTCCCTTTTCTGAAAAGAAAAAAAAATATTAGCTCATTGTTAGTTTGAGCAGTCTTGACAAAATTTGGTTAAAAGGTTAAATTTACTTGTTTATGGTGCAAGAAAGTCTAGTGGCATGTCTTTACTATGTGTATTTTGCTATGTGTGTGTGTGTGTGTTATTTGGAAAGAAAGCAAGCTAGGTGACAAGTTTCCTGAGTTGGTCTACTTTAGCTCTCAGTAGTTTGCCTTTTACTGGATATTTCACAACTTATTGTTGCCTGGAAATGTTTCAAATTGCTAATATTATTAGGGTAACTCATGAAACTTTCTTTTTTTGTTATTTCCAATTTTATAAAGACTTTCAGTTCACTAAGCTTTTGGCGGGTCACTTGTGGCTTTCTTGTTCTTGTTCTTGTTCTTTCTTCTTCACGAGTGGAACAGAAAGATTCATGGTAGTTGCTTTTGAAGGAAAAAACTAAAAAGATGATCATCAAACATGCTTTCCAAATCGAAATAAACGCTGTGATTGTCAAATATTAATCTGTTTATCCCATGTATCCTTCATTACAGTTTAGATCATTTTGGCTGAGGCGGAGCCGAGATTTCAATATTATGGGTTAAGATTTTAGAACAACGAAGGCTAATAACTGGGTTATTAATTTTTGATTTTGTTCATATACACTGTTTTAGCAAAAGCTATTGGGTTCAGCCGAACCCGTACTCGGGCTTCTAGCTCCACACCTGCATTTTGGGTTGGTAGGACATGGAACCCCATGTGCTCAATAACTGTAGATTCCCTAAACTTGATTTGCTAAATTACTTTGCTAGGGAAGCATGCAATCAAAGTCCAAAAGTGCAATCTGCCGGGAAGCCAGAACTTTTGATGTTCCGAATTCCATCAAATATTCTGAACCTTGGTGGAATACTGCTGGCTATAATCCTGTTTCTCTGGGATTGATGCGGGAAAGTGCATCAGATTCGTCATCACGGGAACAATCTGTGGATGGCCGGTCACAATCTGATGGTGGAGCCAATGAGGAAGATGATGATGCTCCTGAAAACTCACAAAGTACCATACCTATGCATTCAGGTATCTTGTTCAATCTTGGAAGTTGCTAAAGATAAACCACTATGGTCATTGACAGAGTGATATGGCTTGTTTTTCTTCATTGGTTTCTTTCTGACAAGTATTCTACTATTTTCTTGCAACTAATATATATATATATATATATATATATATATATATATATATATATATATATATATATATATATATATATATATATATATATA